CCCAAAGTTATTTGTATCTATAATAACTGTAAAGTTAAAATTTATATCTTTTATGCAGATAGTATAATACAACAACAGCAAATTATATAATACAACTTGTAACTTAATTTTATCTAAAATATAAGTAGAAAGGGCTGTAAGGGTCACAACGCGGATCACGGTGCGTTCAGATATAAATGTGATTTATTCCTCGATTTACAAAAATCCAAACGTTTCGGTTCCTGTCCGAGCCATCCTCAGTGGTATAATATTAACATCAAAAATATATATTCTCCCTTAACATGGTGTTAGATAAAATTAAGTTACAAGTTGTATTATATAATTTTCTTAATATTTCCTTGATATTTCCTTTTGTGACCGTTTAAATATTGATAGCATAAATAATTTATTGATTTGTGTTATACAATTTGTGTTATACTCGTGTATAACACGAAGAAGTAATGTGGCACATTTGTACAATTGCTATACAAATTATTAAAATTTATCTGTATATATTTTGTATATACCTAACCTATATATATATATATATATATATATATATATATATAATTAAAAAATATATAGTGCCAATAAATAAATATATAGCGCGCGTCTGGTTGTACATTATGTTTTATTTCTATCTCAAATGTAACCCTTGTTGTTTATGCATGCGTTTCTGCGCGTTATAACGCACGTCAAACATGCGTCTCCATACATTATCCCAATCAAAACGCGCGCGTCTGACACGCAACGATAAATTAGAAAGAGAGAGAGACTTATAACAGTGATAGCGTTTTCTCTTGGCTGCACTATCGCCCACTAGTGCAACACTAATGCAACATTAGTGCAACGCTATTGGGTAGTGCAGGGCAGTGCAGGGCGGTAGTGCAGCCAAGAAAAAACGCTATGAGTGGTAGCGCGGCGTCTCGGTACTAGATAGCCTGCCGTCGTGCGCGGGTGACGATCCGGCGAGGTATCGATCACTGGAGAACTCGTAGCGGTTTTTTTCGCAGCCGATTGTGCTGGTGGTGTCGTAGTTGCTCGATGATGGCTCCCACCGATGCTTCTACGATTCCTGTAACCTAACCTCTTCTTTTGATTTGTCTATCGCCGCAGTATCTTCTGGTGATGCTTTTGCGGTTTCTCGTGGCTCAGTTTCTCCTTCTTTCGAAGGAATACTTTCGGAAGCGACACTTACGTTGCTTGTTGGATCTGATTAATATGATCCGCGGATCCGCGAGCGCGCGACTGTCCCGGCCGAAACGTGATGGAATACTTCCTAACCTCTGTCACCATGCAATGCATGGCAATGAGCGCGTTCGGCAAATACCAACTGTTGAGTTCTATATAAAATATATAAATAAAACCGCGGCGTCTTAGAATAATTGTGTATACGTACAATTCTAAAATAAACCAAAATATATGTATTTTAATAACTTAAAACATACTTAAGACGAATTAATAAAAGCGAGTCAATGCCGGTCATAGTCTGAATTCTAGTCTTATATAAGTATGTTTTATGTTATTGTTAATATACATATTTTGGCTTATTTTATAATTGTACGTACAATATAATATTTTAAGACGCCGCGGTCTTGTTTATATAACTTATATTTATATAAATAATAAATCCTATGGATATTAATATATTGCATGTTTTGTCAGTATATATCTCTGAACGTGTTATGTTGACGTTATATTGTTGTTATTGTGTGTCACCAATCAATAACAGAGCAATATAACTATTACAAAACACAGTTATATTACTGGTACAAAAAAGGTTGCATAACTGCTACATATATATTACATTACTGTAGTTATATTACATGTTACTTTTGTGTTATATAATGGTTATAGTTTGTGTTTGCTGGGTTCTAATTTATTGAAGAGAATTTTGTTTTTAATTCCTCCGGAAATGACTTTATGATGATAGTGTTTTCAGAATTGTTTAAAAAACCACACCAGTTTCCACAGTTTTCATGATAATTGAATGCGTGATAAGGAATATTTTTAATCGCACCTGATAATTCTAACAAATTTTCTTTGTGCTAGTGTAAAGCACAAGTAAAACAACAATGTAGATATTTGATTGAATCAGTTGTAAGTTCCTTGTCAGGGTCTTTCTGTCAGTAGAAAGTTTGTACAGTATGCTCTTAAGGCTCCTGGTCCCTGAGCCGAGAACTCTGCGTTGACGGTGGCGCCGTACCGTCGCGGCAGAAATAAGAACTCTCTCATCTCACTCTCTCCAATGGAGAATTCTGTCTTGTGACATGTTGACAACCTTATTTTAAGTTGCGGTATATTTCTTTATTATTCGCTCTGTACTTGTGCTCTAACGTTTAACGTATTCGTGAAACTCGTAAAATTGACCGTATGGTAAGATTTGCAAGAAATATATATGCGGAAGGAACATTCACCACTCCTTTCGATAGTCGTCAAACGGCTTGTTTTCCATATGTTTAGGCTGCGTTTTATGGCTGTTTGTTTATTGTCGAGGGAAAAGGATAGTATCGGGTCAATTTTTGAAGTGTGCTGAAACGATCTGTCGTGATTTTTTATTGAAATGTCTTTTTATTTCGGAAAATACCGCAACTTAAAATTAGGTGTTTTCCTCGCCTCGATAGTAAGAATCCAATATGGCCGCGGGTGACTACCCAGGAGCCTTAACGCCTTTTGAAGTATGATTAATATCGAAAAATTTAACAATTTTATGTGTGCTGTTTTTTCTAATGTCATTATCACCAACGACAATACCGACCTCTAAATTTGCTGATTTTAACACAGAGCTCTCATTAACCAATTTGTTAGCAGAATATGGCTCCATAGCCTTAGCACTTCCATAAAAATTTTTGCGACAATCGTGATCTTTTTTATTATGTCCTTTATCACACAAGCAACATTTCCTGTTGCATGTTATGAAGTCTAAGACTTCACCCCTAGTTCACTGAATTGGAATAAGTAGGAAAAACCGGGGCGAACTCGGCCCTTTTTTTCGGTGCCGATGTTTAACAACAAAATAAATTATTTTAGTGAAATATAACATACTATTGTAAAGAGTGAACCTTTAGCTACAAAATTTATACAGGCATTTTTGGTCTACGTCGCTTTGTTCAACCGGTATAGAATAAAAACGACAAAGGTGCAAAAATCGAAGTCAAAATTCACGGGGCGGAGAAATTCGTTACACCACCGGGACGGAGTCGTGTATTCATTCTCGGACTGGATTTTAAATAAAGATACATCATTTTGATCATAAAAAATAATAGAATACACTTTATTCAATGTTTTTTAGTAGAAAAATAATAATTTTATCAAGAAAATCAATTTTCTTTTTTGCTATCAGTATCATTAAAACAGTTAAAACATTTAAAGACAGAGTCTGACGAGCGCACGCACTCGTTGTGTGCCTTACGCCTGCACGAAATGCACTATTTTTTCCGTCAGCTCTGTTTTCTATCATGTCCGAGCATACGCAGCACATATTATTTAATTTTCTTGACTTCGTTTTTCGCCCACTGCTCGTCGAAGGCTACGATTCTGACTCCGTTTTTCGCCCACTGCTCGTCGAAGGCTGCGGTTCTGATTGCGTAGCATTTTTTTGGGGCCGGCCTCTCTTTCTCGGCATAGTGGTAATGGTCGATTTTGTCGTTCTCTTCCTTGTAGCAGATTTCTCATCTTTCTTCCGCTTTGACTCTGCCTGCTCAGTCGCCAATTCCTTAATTTGAGGCGAGTCAGTAAGGATGGCGGTCGTTCTTCGTTTTCGTCCTTTAGAGTGCCTTAGAGTTGTCTGCCTTGGAGCGGCTTTAGAAAACGCTTGAATACTTTCAAGCGTCGCGCTCAAGTTCCGTGTATCATCACGACGGGACATGGAAGAATCCGTGAAATCGAATTCATTTTTATTCTGTTCGGCTGCGTCAGGTTCGGCTGATGTATCCGGATCGGCTGTGTCAGGTTCGATTGATGTACCCGGATCGGCTGCGTTAAGATTGGCTTCTTCGGGACCAGCGGAAGTAGAAGGTTCTCTTTATCCGTAATGCTACTCGGCAAAAATTCGTATTCCTGGAAAATGTCCGGGTTGAATGGAGAAATTCCAGTGCATTCAAATCCGGACACAATATTTTGATGCGTTACGGCAAGTGGCAGTGCCTTAAGGCTATTCTACAATTGCGTAAACGTAGGGTTGTAGGAGTAAGAGTAAGAAATTGACCAATCACAGTCGTATTTGAGAAAAATAATCGATTGGTCAATTTCTTACTCCTACTCCTACAACCCTACGTTTACGCAATTGTAGAATAGCCTTAAGTCACGATTCCAGGGATGTCATATATCGTCATAGTCCTACCAGGATTCCACAAGCTGCTCCTTGTCGACGGCAGCCGTTTTGCGATGGTACGTGCGTACCATTTTCCTGCAATTGAGAAATACAATGACGCATTTGCAACGGAAAATAGAGTGAAATCACCAGGGCTAATCCGCCCCGGTGGCTTGGTCACGACTTCGCCCCGAACACAAGTTTTAGGTTTGGTCGCTTATAAAATAAAAGAAATCAATGAAAATAAAAAAACTACACTGGATTCGCGCGTGTTCAGCATGCATTACTCTTTAGAATTACTTACTTTGAGATTTGGAGAGACAATAATACTAAATACTAAAGATATTACAAACTTTCGACGCGGAAGAAATTTCACTTTCGACCTGCGAAAACATGTTTGCTTCGATAACAATCACAACATGGTACGTAACCTCACTAAACTCCGTTGGTCACGTGGGCACCATAAGCCGCCTTTACACTATTAATGGCGAGTTTACACAACACATATTTCGAGATAATTGCAAAAACGACTTCGCCCCGATCTCCCTTATTAAAAATTCGCACTGAAATATTATTATCGACACGAACATCCAGTCACGGCTCTTTATAATGGATAGATTATAAAATTTAAAATATATGAATAGTAGGATACCTCGATCAAACATGCAAGGGTATCGACGCAAATCTAATTGTTATATCTCTTTTTTAGGTTCCTATACATATTGAAGACATCCATATATTTCTGAGTATAAGATATCTCAGTAAATAAAGAAATACAGCTATTATGGCGGACGAGGAAGGTACAGAGTGGCTTCAGGAACTGTTACATGATGTGCAGCTCTCTCAGTTCTTTACACGAATTCGAGACGATTTACAGATTACTCGTCTGCATCATTTTGATTACGTCCAAGCAGAAGATTTGGAGAAGATTGGTCTAGGTAAACCTGGCGTCAGACGTCTGTTGGATGCGGTAAAGAAGAGACGAAACGCTCAATGGAAGAAGAGTTTAATTACCAAAATTAAACCTGGTGGCAGCAGTAAAAGCAACAAGCGATCCTCGCAGCCGATCGAAACTTCCTCGGTGCTGACATGTCTCATACAAGACAAAGATGTGACACTGTCCGTTAAATTAGGCGATGGAAGCTTTGGTGTAGTGAGAAGAGGGGAATGGACTTCTCCTTCAGGACGAACTTTGCCCGTCGCTGTGAAAGTCCTCAAAGCAGATGCCCTCACACAGCCGAGTGTTATAGAAGACTTTGTTTCGGAAGTTCAGGCAATGCACACTTTGGATCATCATAATCTTATTAGATTGTATGGTGTGGTGTTGTCGCAGCCGATGATGATGGTGACTGAGCTCGCGCCTTTAGGCGCATTACTTGATTATTTACGACAGCAATGCGACAGAATCTCGATTCTCACGCTCTGTAATTATGCGTTACAAGTTGCTACGGGTATGGCGTATCTAGAAGCGAAGCGTTTTCTACATCGCGACCTGGCATGCAGAAACGTCCTGCTGAGTACCATCGATAAAATCAAAATCGGCGACTTCGGTTTGATGAGAGCGCTTCCTCAACAAGAAGACTGCTATGTCATGACGGAACATAAAAAAGTACCTTTTCCTTGGTGTGCCCCCGAGTCGCTCAAGGCTCGACATTTTAGTCACGCGTCAGACGTCTGGATGTTTGGTGTGACACTGTGGGAGATGTTAACGTTTGGCGAGGAACCCTGGCTGGGGTTAAACGGTTCCGAAATTTTGCGTAAAATCGATCGCGAAGGCGAGCGGCTTCACGAGCCAGAAGCAATGCCTCCATATATATATGAGCTGATGCTTCGTTGCTGGGCGAGAGAACCTTCAGAGAGACCGACATTTGCTTCGTTGAAAGAGTCCTTGACTAGTATGGTGCCATCTGTAATGAAGGCTCTAACCTCCTTCGAGGAGGCCGGCAAAATGTCCATCGAGACGGGAGACCAAATTGCAATCATCGACGGGCGCCCGGAAAATTACTGGTGGAAAGGTCAGAATCAGCGAACTTTTCAAATAGCGCATTTTCCGCGTTGTCTGGTTGATCCAATGCGCCGAAAGCAGCCAGAAGACATTAGCAAGCCATTGGAGAATTCTTTCATTCATACAGGACATGGAGCGCCCTTTGGCAAGAGCTGGGGCAGTCCCGTTTACATCGACGATGTATATTTAAGAAATCCAATGGATCCTCCGGATGTATTGGTAGCTGCCTCGGCTGACAATCAGATAAAAAAGAAATTCTCTTGTGGTACTCCACGTACCAGAAAACAATTCAATTACACGAAATTGCACAACGATGCTAGGTCGAGCCCTATCAAGGTCTCGCAAGTGTCATCGACCTCAGACATTAGCCAAGAAGATACTCTGATCGATTTGTCCGCCGAGGAATCGGCAAACACAAGCATCTACGATCAAAAGGTCTCATGTAAACGAGTAATTAACATTCTGGATGAACCTATCGATGTCGAGAGGTTTTCCTGGCAGGATGAGGAAGGCAGAACATATGCTAATTTTCCTGGTAACGTGGCTCCTGCGTATTCTGATCCTTTTGATACTTCTGCGGTATTCATGAAGCCACCACATTCGCGATATTATAGTCATGTGCCTGCTGAAGTTGCTAATTGTTATCTGAAGACACAGACGTATGGAAACGTGAGCGATCAAGAGGGAGGAGATAATGTTCAAGATACCGTGAATTGTTTTGTCCTTAATTCTGCTGATACAGAGGTACGTTCTTATAGTGATGTATTGGAGACACATTTTCGAATTACTCGTAATGATAAAAAAATTTCGAAGTTTAAAATGTAATTATTATTCAGACCAAATATTATTTAAAATCACGAGTTTTCTGAATATTTTGAATGTTTTAAAAGTTAACTATTGTTACAATGTTATTATATAATATATATATATATATATATATATATATATATATATATATATATTACTATTGTTATTATACAGCCTTAAGGGGATGCTGGAGCCGTAGCCGAACTCGATCGGCGTCGGTAAAGAAGACTGGCGAACTATATCTGTCCTTGTATAGACAAAGATATAGACAAGGATAGCACGCTACATTGCACGCACACATACGCACGATGCATGTCGACATTATATTTTTATATTACGCTTCCAAATCTTGATTTGGAGGGTTTATCGATGTTTTTCTTGTTGTGCAATTCGGGGAAACTTGTTTTCGCGTTCGTACCAATGGTATATCTCTTATATGAAATACATCTTGTGACGAGCTGACAGCTCGCCGCAACTCGAGACGCCATATTGGGATAAAAGTAGGATAAGGAAATCTGTACTTCCGTAATTTTTTCTTGTTTTCTATATAAAATCAGAGTTCCCCCGAATCATTAATGTATGTACTGCAATTCTGGAGAAGGATTTTTAATTTTGTCAAATTAATACGACGCTACGTGCCGACAAAAAATGCCGGTAAAACAGACGGCTCCAGCATCCCCTTAAGTATAATATTCAAGGCAACTCGCATCTTCATATGATGGAAAATATGATGGATGCTTCAAAAACGGCTTTGGATATTGTTAGTAATGTTACCGACGCATTTACTTTAGCTTTCGTGTATTTCATTTAGCAACTGTCTATCTAATTGCAATTTAATATTAATTTTCATTCATAATGATTTACATGTGACTACACATAGCTGTACAATATTGATATATATATTAAATTAGTAGACAGTTTATAGAACTAAATACATCTCCCCTGTTAATCCGTCTACATAACAAAAATTTAACGATATAATTTTTGATTATGCATTATTTACATTTTCTTAAAAATTATTGAAAAAATTTTGCGTTTTTTTTTAGACAAAAAAGATTGTTTTTATGGAAGGCTAAGATAGACAGTGAATTTTCTGCACATTAATAACGAGTTAATTTACAAAAGAAATATATAGAGATTTATACTCTAATTGTGTGTAGAGCCTATATAAAGACAGAAGTGACTTCGGACCTTCACCTTCAGCCATATTGGGACCGCTCCAGTTCTGTCAAACAGATCAAACTCCACTACCTCTAACCTAAACAATAAGGCAACCTAAACAATAAGTTCCGATATTCGCTGCCAGTACTGAAAATCTATAGTTTACGTCACACTTTTCAGTACTTACAGTAAATATAGAAATGCAGCCCAAATGCTAGCTGTAAATATCGAAATATATTAACTTCATTCTCCGGTCTCAATATGGCTGCTTCAATTAAGTGGGGGCATTAACCAATCAGAAATCGTGACGCCGGAGTCACTTCTCTCTTTATATATGACTACGTTTACACAGCGGCTTTTAATCCAATTTAGGCTACATTCCGATATAATTCACTGTCAGTACTGAATATCTATATTTTTCTATATTTTACGTCACGTATACTATAGATGTTCAGTACTGACAGTTCCTGACAGTAAATATCGGAATTCAGCCTAGTAACTACCGTATACTATCTGATCCAAAATTTTTCTTCTTTTAATCATAACGATCATTTAAATATGAATCTATTTCGATACTCTAAACATTTGAAACAATTTTTGATATACACTGCTCAAAAAAATTAGGGGATCACTTTTTCTCAGTAAATTTGTGCCTATTTTTGCCACAAACAGCGAATTAACGTAAAAAATTTTAAAAGGATTTTACAGGACAAACTCTCTACTATAAGGTGCTTTTGTTTAATTTTTACTCAGGTTAATACTCAAGACGTGATCAGCTTTGAATAAGGACGTATTTAAGATATCCAAAATCTTGAAATTTGCAGTCTTCCGCCTAACAAAAAAATTAGCGAATATAATCATTGATACTATCTCAAAGTACGGACTTTGCCCTTTTAAATGAAAAAAAGCTGCCCTATGCTGATTATTTAGCGAGATATATCAATTTAAAGTAACCCCTGTTTTTTTATGATTCTAGCACGATACCGGCTTTTGCGTAATGTGATGTGCATCACGGGAAAGTTGTTTGGTCGGATTTTGCACATCATGTATGTATGTGTATGTGTATGGAATGTACATGTGTTTGTGTACATGTAGAGTTTTTTATTTTGTTATTTTTATTTATTTATAATTTTTTTTAATAAGAAGAGTGTTATCACCTCTTCGCCGTATTACGTCGCTCAATCTTAATCTCATATTGATGCATTTTTTTTTACATCAAATTGAGAAATTTTATTCCAAATTTGACGCAGTGCCTCTTCAATCTGATGTAAAAAAATGTATCAATATGAAATCAAGATTGCGCGAGGTGATACGGCGAAAAGGTGGCAACACTTCTTACTAAAAAAAACCTCTATGCACACATATACATGTATGTACACTCCATACACATACACATACATACATGATGTGCAAAATCCGATCAAGCAACCTCCCCGTGCACATCAGGTCACGCAAATGCTGGCGGTGAAATCGCGCTGAAATAATAAAAAATAGAGATTACTTTGAATTGCGATATTTCGCTAAATAATCGGCGTAGGACAGGTTTGGTTTTTTTTCCATTTGAAAAGGCAGAGTCCGTACTTTGGTATCAATAATGATTATGTTCGTCAGTTTTTTTGGCGAAATTTTTAGGCGGTGGAAGACTGCAAATTTCAAGATTTTGGATATTTCAAATACATCCTTATTCAAAGTTGACCACGCTCTTGAGTACTAACCTGAGTGAAAATTAAACATAAGCACTTTATAGTAGACAGTTTGCCCTGTAAAACCATTATTTAAACTTTTTTACGTTAATTATTTATCGCTGAGTAATAATTACAGTTTAAAAATTGGGCAAAAGTTTAAGAGAAAAGTAATTCCCTAATTTTTTTTAGCAGTGTATATTGTATACTAAAAGTTGTAGTTTAAATATCGAAGAAGCTCATATTTAAATGATCATTATGATCAAAAGAAGAAAAATTTTGCATCGGATAGTATACAGTAGTTATTAAACCGGATTACAAACCGTCCGCACCGTATAAACCTAGTCTAGGACTCTAATTGTGTGCTTTTGGTATCAAAGTAATTTTAATTTTTGCACTCGCTAAGGGGCTTTCTTCGTAAGGCAAAGAGTCTTTCTATAACTCTTATAAAATTGCAAAACTGGATAAATTAATCACGTATGCTAAATGCTTTTTTTATGTATTATATCCAAGTAATTTCTATTTTTGTTGCGGATATAATCCTTAAAAACATCCCTTCTAAAGCAAAAACGGCAAGTGTCATTAAGGATTGTAACACGAACTTGATTGTAATCTAATCAACTTTCTATCGAAATAATTATTTTTTGGCTAAACGAAAGAAAAGCAAAAAATTTTTCAAACGAATCAAGAAAACAACAGTTACATAACTATTGTTATATTTGCATTATGTTATGAGGTTAACAATAACATGGTTTTCTAAAAATATTGGTATGTACATTCACAGAATTTATGTTAAAGTTATTTAAAAATTAATAACTTTTTTTTAAACAATTTGCATAAATTTTTGAAAAATAATTTATTTAAGTGAATTGAAAAGAGTTATAACTAAAAATAAATTAATTAATTTTTAGTTACCTGTATTTTATACTATTATTATCTGTATACTATTTTATTTTGTTATTCTTTTTCCAGGAGACTCGGCATTACTCGATGAATTTAAACAAGGGGTGTCAGCAGGACCCATTAAATTTGAATGTGAACGTGAAAGATAACGACTTTGCAAATCACTATAGCGAAATAGATAAGGTCAGCCCATGTGGATCGAATTGGTCTACCTGGCCGGAGGATCTGCGAAATACTTCCACCTCGCAGACGTATGTTAATGTTTCTAACAGTAGACCCACATCGTCGTTCGCTATTCCAACTCCACCGTCTCCTCCTCTTCCTCCTTCCCTTGGCCCGAACGTGAGTCCGCCGAAGCCTAAGTCCAATTGCGAGCTTGCGCAGAGCATGAATGAGCTGTCTTTGAATGTTAATTCCGATCATCAAGAAGTTGCCGCTGTTGTCAAGAAACTGGATCCGCTTTTTTTGGCCGAGTTGGAGAAGCATTTGGGCGAGAAGGAAGCAACGAAGAACATGAACGCTAGCAACGATAAACGCCAACAGCCGGGAATTGTTTCCGGGAATTATTTGAACTGCTCATCGTTAGAGAAGCTGCAACAGAATACGTCTACTCAGCAGCAAATTTCAACGATGGAAGATGCTGCTAGGCCTTTGTCAATCATTCCGGCATTGAAGCCACCACCACAGGGAAAACCGAGATCGCCAGTTGCGACAATGGATCGAGCAAACGCTTCATCGACGCCACCTAGCAAAGTGCAGAACTCCTGGCAGCTGAAGAGCATAAATGTTCAAAGACCGCGACTCCATAATGACCAATCTGTGTCAGAATTGGCCACTGAGGCTATAGTGAACCAAATTTGGCAGCAAACACAAACTCTATCCCAACAGCCAAATGTTTGTCTGGTCAGTTCGGCTGCTAACCAGATGTTAATGTCCGATTCGGTGTCCCAAGCGAGCGTTAATAATCAGGTTCAAGAAATCACTGGCAATGCTTCCGGTAGTGATATAAACGATCAAAATCAGTATGGTTCTTGCAATGTTACCAAGGCTACTTTTATACAGACACAAGATTGTGTGTCAAATCAGAATTATCCTCAAAACATGTTGCACGTCAATCAGGATAATATCAATCTGCTTGAAGGACCCTCCGATAATATTACCGACAACATGAACGAGACTCAACACGGACCTTGCAATGTCGCCAAGACCGCGTTTAACCAAATACAAGTCTGTTCGTCAAACAACCAAAGTTATCTTCAAAATTCATTGGGCGTTGACCAAGATGTTGTCAATTTGCGACAGACTGTCATTAGTAGCATCTCCAATGCCAGGAATTATCCTCAGTGCGATGCAGCCAATGTTTCTAAAGTGAATCAAACCCAGGCTTACTCGTTAACTGATGGGAGTCAGAATTATCTTCATAATATCGGTTTTAATCTACTTCAAACGACTGCCAATCATGTTTCCGACAAGAGCGTGAGCGAATTCTCCCAGCACGGACATTGCAATATTTCCAAGGCTGCTTCCAATCAGACGCAGATCTATTCGTCATCAAGTCAAAATTACTTATCGAGCGTGGTGCCAATTTCTCATCTGGGTGATCTTGCGTTGCCCCAAACCTGTCTTCAAAACGTGCCAATATTGTCCAGCTCAAGTAACACTCACGGAATCACTCATATACAGAACGATTTGCAGCAATCCCAACATTTAAAGCCCGCTACATTTTTATCTGAACAAGTATATGCTGAATTAAAACAAACGGTATGTAATATTTTAAATAAAAATTTTACAGAGTTTTACAGAAGAGAAATATAATATTTGCTACAAGTTTTTTGTTATTAACAAGAAGGACGCCGCATGATTCATATGAAAAAAAGTTTTCGATCAATTTGCTTAAATTTTTAATATTGTAATTTTTGTGTTTCTTATATGAAAAGTTTGCAATTTTATCAACTTTCTATGATTAGTTTCTGAATTATTGGAATTTGAAAGTCTCCTTCACAAAAATGGTTCGTATATTTGCACTTATGTGTGCTTGCTCGCATATATATATGTATATATATATATATATATATATATATATATATATATATATATA